CTACAGTTTGCCTGTGCCTCAAGAAGGGCGGGGACTGAGTATATTTCAATGTACACGATGTGATGGTGAATGTGATTACGAAGTGGGAACAATGTGAGGAAGTAGATAAATGAGTTTGATAGGTGCGGGTTTGTTAGAGAGATTTTTACTGAAGAATTTTGAAAGATAGACTTTATTCACAAGAAGTGAAATACACATGTTCACATGTATTTATAGTGGTTCTCACACCAACGGCTTGTGTTGGATACAAGTAGCATCGGAATAGTTTGAGTCAAAACGCCCCAGAAATACTATTACTTCATATTCTACTGGATCGTCCGTGATTGGACAACTCGCCTTTTCATGATCTACGTATATGACATCAACTAGCATATTTCAACATGAGGAGACTGTAGCTCATGACTAACGTTAGCTTATAGAGAAATATCATGCGCAAAACCAGACAAACAAGTAGTCGGATTACATGTTTTCCAGCATTGTTCGTATTATCGTACAGAATAGCAATTGAACCGAATCCTTCGCCTGGATGAAGTCGGCTGTGAAATTGAGGGCTTCCTGTTTGCTGCTCAAGACCAGTCACTACCCACTCGCAATCGCCTAAATGTGATTCTTAAAGAAAATGTTAACATGAAATACCGACTGTGTAATTAATTTATAGAAACTGTCCAACACCTTGTCAGTGGATGTCCTTCCTTGGCACAAACAGCATATCTTAAACGACATGACTGCATGGCTCGTTGCTTCTACTACCGTCTTCTCCGAGGTCCACCCATGGTACGACCCTGAACATATCCAGGGCGTCATGAAAGCTTCTTTGGCATAGGCCCATATACAGCCTCAGAAGAATTCCAGCCAACAAACCTGATCTTGTCCTTTTTGATAAAGCCAATGGATTTATTTATATCAATGAATTTTCTGTCCCTTTTGACAGCAACGTGATTGGCAAGATTCAGGAAAAGCATGCTAAGTATGCGGACCTCGTCTTTGCAATGTCTCGCTTGCATCCCAAATACACTGTCTCAGGCTCCTCATTGTTCTCGATGCCCTTGGTTTGGTACCTCCTGATATCTTGGCGCATATCAGGAGAGTTCCTGGGTACTGCACCGGGAGCACAACCCTTCTGACGCTCTGGGTAATGCAGAAGGCTGCAGTGTTGGGGAGCCTACATATTGTCCGGAAAGTTCTGGGTGGGTTCGACTAGGCAACGTTTCCTGGGAGAGGTCCCATTCGCTGTCTGGGCTGAGTGTAGAGGGGTCAAGGGCCCTGAGCTGATGATGAGCCTTACCAGCCTGACTGTGCCAGGATCACCCGAACCCACTGCTGCTCATTTTCTTTAATCTTTAAAACATAATTATGCTACTTTTTGCTGCTCTCCAACGTTACATTATTACCCTGACGGAATTGTACTTTCAAAGCAGCTATGAAGTGCTTCGCGCGACCGCATGGGTCCGTACATCTGCTTCCCAGGTACCCATTTAAATAGCTGGGTGGACTGAGTGCAATGTGGACGAAGTGTCTTGCCCAGGGACACAACACAGTATGAGACCCAGGTAACAAATTTTTGGGGTCTCCACCGGGATTTGAACCCGGGCCTTTGGCGTGAGAGGCCAGCATGCTAACCACTACACCACTGAAGCTGCCTTCCTCCTTTCTTTTCCTTTATTTTCGTTTTGTTACAGTGTTGCTGTTACAGTTGATATGTGGCAGTAATGTTCATTGTGATTGAAAAAAGGTTTCAATTTCATCACACAATGTACATATTTAGAACATAATCATGGTCTGACCATGTTCTCAACGCTGTTTTGCTAATTAACCATGCACAAACAGAGGTGAATAGAGGAGGGGAAAGAGGAGAGAGGGGGAGGTGAGGGGAAGAAGAGACATGGAATAGGGGAGAGGGAGGAAGAGAGAGATAGGAGAGGGATTGAGGAGGGAGAGAAAGAGTGGTTGGTAAAGAGGGGTGAGAGAGGAAGAGGGGACAGAAGAGAGGAGAGAGACAGGGAGAGAAAGGGGAGAGGGAGGAAGAGAGAGATAGGAGAGGGATTGAGGAGGGAGAGAAAGAGTGGTTGGTAAAGAGGGGTGAGAGAGGAAGAGGGGACTGAAGAGGGAGAGAAACAGGGATAGAAAGAGGAATGGAGAAAGAAGGGAGAGGCAGGAAGAGAGAGAGAGAGAGACAGAAGAGGGATTGAAGAGGGGAGAGAGGAAGAGGGGAAAAGAGAGTTCTCATTTGGGTACTGTGATACCCAATGGCAAAGTTTAGTACGTTGTACATATTAAGGTATTTCTGTTATAGGATGAAGAGTTTTCATATTAAAGACACTGGTAAATGACAGGTGAAAAGGGAAGGAGGCTTCAAGTTTTGAATTTGAACACAATGCTTGGGTGCGAAATATAGGCGGGATGGAGGAAGGTAAAGGACATACGGATGATTGTGATACGGATGATTGTGATACGGATGATAGTACACCAGCAGGATGCAGAACACACAGTGATGGAGACACGTCATCAGACGGGGAACACATCGAACCTGCAGGTGCTGCCATGGGCAACCCACAAGCAGCAACTGAAGGAGCAGGCATGGAGGATACTGAAAATAGAAATGTTGATGACGAGTGTGCTGACGAATTTAGTGATCGCACAGCCGAAGAAGAAGGGGATAGGACACATACCTTTGTGAGAGGTACTACTTCTCTTTACACTCAAGGAGGTGTTACGTTTGAATAGTAAAAGAGGCATAACAGTTGGGTTGTATAACTAACCCTTTAATATGCAATTAATGTAAAATTTGGACCGAGCATATGTTTATGAATTAAAGTGATGAAACCTTTCAGCAAAAGCCTGGTAGACACCAATAACAAACGCCAAGGCCAGTCAATTAGATGAAGTCATGTGGAACCTGAAGGGTCACATCCTATCCACTAATGTTTAATCAACAAGCAATAGATGTTGGCCACCGCAATCAGGCTGATGTGTCGTAGCCTGTGATTTGGGGTTCTTCAGTAATGAAATCCACAAGCTTAAGGGTCAGGATGTAAAGTGTGAGTTTATTATTCTAGGATGAACCCCAAACAATTGGTGAACAAAACCCTGGAACAATTTATGAACAGTGTTAAAACCCTGAAACAATTGGTGAACAGGGTTAAAACCCTGAAACAATTTGAACAGTGTTAAAACCCTAAACAATTGGTGAACAGTGTTAAAACCCTGAAACAATTGGTGAACAGTGTTAAAACCCCTGAAACAATTGGTAAACAGTGTAGATCATTCACCAGGTTGAGACACATGGTACAACACAGTTATCAACCCATACTTCAAGTAGGGGCCTATTCAAACCCTACTTCACATCATACAATGCAAATCAATTCAAATCAATGCAAATCACAATATTTAATTTACTTGTCCTTGGATATCCCCTAATTGCAATCTGTGTGTTCGTAGATGCCACGTCACTACCACAACACACTGTGGGATGTTGTCGGCAACCACAGGGAGAAATAGCATCAGCCCCTCAGCAACAAGAGCAGCTCCATCCTTCAGCTTGTGAAGTTGATCAAAGTCAAGGACCGCTATCTGCAACTACAAGTCTACAGGTTCCGGGAACATCAGCCCTGACACCAGTATCCACAAGTACAGCTTGTGTTGTACAGAAAACAACAAGTCTACAGGTTCCGGGAACATCAGCCATGACACCAGCCTCCACAAGTACACCTTGTGTAATTCCGAAAACAACAAGTCTACAGGTCCCGGGAACAACAGCCATGACACCAGCCTCTACGTCGTCTCTTCTGCCCAGAAAACCAGGATCTATTGTATCAGAGAGACAAACCTCCGGGTTGCCTGTTGTACCAGCGAATAGTGATTCTTCTACAGGTGAGTACTGTTTTATGATATCTAATAAGGTATTTTTAACAAGAGGATGACGCCCTTATCAGCTTGTTATGATGACGTCCTTATCGGCTCCGTACAGTGTGATCGTTTCTGGGGTGGGTCCAGAATGGTATAGGGTTGCATGACAATGACTGGCCGGAATGCCCTCCATATTGTCTATTGCTGCATGACAAGTAAATACTATGGGAAACACATCTTGTAATGTGTTGGGCATTTGTCAATATGATAACGCATTTGCTCATCATGCCAGGATTGTGACACAATTCCTCCAAAGCAAAATATCCAGCACTATGTCTTGACCTCTCCGCCACTAAATACGCCTGTGTTTGTACGTCATAGTCCACCCAACTCTCAATGAACACAGTGCTGCCCTCATTCACTCGATTTCGTAAATTATTGTCCTCCTGGGAGGAAACTTAATTCCAAAACTTTCAAAGTGAATTTCTACCCACAAAGTTTAAATTCGTAGAATAGTCGTTGTTCTGAATAGTGGCTAAAATTCACTACAATCACCAGCGGATGGTGTAAATCCAGCTAGGATCCACGGAGATAGCCAAAATACTGTCAGTCCCTATGGTCCCTAGTATGGTGATCAGCCTTCAGTTGCTGGTGATCTATAGCCCGATTTTATATTGTATTGTTGTCTATAGTGATATATTTTCATGATAGCGTACTCATGTTAAATTAAAAGCTGTGACGGGTCAGTAGTTGTCAATACATCGGGAAAGCATCTCGTTATGTGTTAGGCATTTGTCAAGATGATAACGTGCTCATCATGCCAGGATTGTGACACAAGTTCTCCAAAGCGAATCATCCAGCACTATGTCCTGACCTTTTCGCCACTAAATACGTCTGGGTTTGTACGTCATAGTCCACCCAACTCTCAATGAACATTCTTTGCGACCCTATCACAATAGTATCTAAGTTATTTATAAACAAACGTAACTGGGGAGTCTGCTAATGTAAAACATTATTACTATTATAGCTTATTAAAAACACTTTTACAACATACAACTATGTACAACTCATACACAGTGTTAGTTCATGTACAGGTTTTCAGAATCACGGACGAAATTCAAATATGGAACACATCTTAGGACAGCTTCAGTCAAATGGTCTCTGTTACAGTCACACAGTACAACCTTATACAAGTACAGCAGCAGTTTGGAGATGTGACAGTGAAGGGCGCTGAGAATCTGAACATTGGCGGAACTCAGAATGTCGGTACAACTCCGACCAAACAGGATGAAGAGGAGGTACCACTGACTGCAGCACAGAAGATCAGGAGTGAGTTATTTGACAGATTTTTCATCTACTGGAATCCTGACTCTGCTGTTGAAAAATGATTTTGTCGCCACAGAACAAGACAGTTTACAACCTGTCAAGTACAGTATTTCTAGCTCACTCTCTTGACATACATTAAAATTTCCAATTTGGGCATAATATTTCAAAATCTAACATTTGTTCACTTTAAGTCAGATTGTATGCATAGTTAAACGCGATAATATGATTTCGCAAAGTCTTAAAGGGTTCTATTCACAATATGTCTGAAATTGTTAGCTCACTCACTCACTTGCCGCATATTAAGGTAAGGATTTTGGAGTAATATGTTAAAATCTAACATCACACAGATTTGTGTATAGTTAAATATATTACATATGCCTTATTTACGAAGAAAGAACGGCATCCAGGATACAGTCGTGGACTAAAGACATGGTGGAGACAAAAGCCCTCAAGAAAGTGAAAGAGAAGCTGGGCAGAGGAGCCACATGGGTGACAATTAAAGGAAGACCAGGAGAGGGGAAGTCCACAATAGCTTACATGGCCCTCAAAGACCAGGACAAGCAGGGGAGACAAGTATACCAAGTGGTGTCACCAGCAGAGTTCAATGAGGTCATAATGGCCTGCTCTAATCCTGTCATTCTATTAGATGACATATTTGGTGACTTGGAATTCGACACAGCTGAGTGGGCTAAGTGGAGACCAAGTCTACGACCTATCGTGGATGTGAAACATCCTGACAAATATGCTGAAAAGGTTCCAGAGAGGCCAAAAGTTGATCAAACACAGTGACAAAACTCAAGTCTAAACAAAGACAAAACTATCATTATCCTCGTAGGCCGTGACTATGTGCTGAAATCCTCATTGGCAGACTTGGGAAGGATGGCAGATTACATTTCAAGTCCCCAATACGTGGTGGAAGTTTCCTCACAGAGAGACTCTTATGAGCGAAGGAAAATATGGCGTGTTCATGCTGAAGCAAACAACATAGACTTTGAGGAGTCAGTTGTGTCTCAGATATGTGAGGCAGATTGTCCGCACGGCTTCCCCCATGTATGTAAAATGTTTGCCACAGCATATGAAAAGGATTGGACTCACCTTCAAATGCAAATGTTTTTTCAAGCACCACTTGATTTCCTCAGAAATACCTTGGATAAATGTCTTCAAAATATGAGACAGCGTTCACTGTTCATGGCTATGATTAAAAGAGATGGAGAGATTAGTGGACAAGAAATGGAGGAGGATGATAGCCTCGGTTATGAATGCATAGCAGCCGCTGACGATTTGGTTGGATCTTACCTCAAGAAGGAAGATGACACTTACATGTTTGATCACCCGTCTATATATGACTCTGTTTCCTTTATTCTCAGTACAAAACTGTCGAAGTTTGTTATCGAAAATTGCAGTTTGTTATTTATAAATCAGCGACTTTGTCTTGTACCCTCCAGAGAAAGAGAGAAAAAGGTTGCTGGGGAGACAAATCTTGTTGCAAACATCTCATGGAGTTATGCTCGACATTTTGCAAGACGATTTGCAACTGAAGTCGAAATTGGCAATTTGTTGCATGTTTTATCACACAAGGCATTTTGTAATTCAGACTTTGTTGACTTGCTAATGGACTGCCTGAAGGCACACTGTCGCATGTCTGTTACTGATATCGTGAAACTAACTGATAACGCATCCAAACAGGCTTTTTGTGAATTACTTTCCGGCAACAAGTCACATCATCTCATCAAATATTTTATGGAGAAAGAAAATATCTCATTCAGCCAGAGCGAAAGAAGGAACATTTTACTGGGTGTGTGCACGAATGCTGCGACCAGTGTACTGAAATACATCAGTGGACGCATGGAACTTGAGGTGAATGTTAGATACGGTCAGATGAAGAAGACGCCGCTTATGTTAGCAGCAGAAACCAGGGACAGTGTGTTTGTCAATCAGATTTTGCCTCTTGACCCTGATCTGAATGCAAGAGACCATTGGGATTTTAGTGTGTTTACATATCTTTGTGAAAATGGCCTTACATCAGCCGTGGAACATGCGATTGACAAAGGTGTGGACATTAATAAGGATCATGGGCGATATATACACCCCACATACCTTGCGATAAAGGAAGGTCACTTAGAGGTGGTGAAACTGTTGGTTAACAGAGGTTGTGATATAGATAACCAGAAAGGCCTAGGAGCTGCTGTTCGGAGTCGGAACGTGAAAATGTTGCAGTTCTTTTTAAACAGAGGAGCAGAGGTTGACGCTTATGCTGTGTTCATAGCATGTACGGTCGGGGACATGAATGTCGTCAAGATGTTGTTTGAGAAGGGTGCTACTGTGAACATGAAGGCATCTGATGGAAGTACTCTTCTTCTGAGCTCATGCATAGAAAACGCTAATGTTGCCTCGTATTTGCTGGAGAAAGGAGCCAATGTGAACCAAGCTTCAAATGTTACAGGAGACACTCCACTTCTTAAAGCAGCAGAGCTGGGATCTACAGAGAGTATGGAGGTGTTACTAAAGGCTGGAGCTGATGTTAATGTACAGAAAAATACAGGTGGCACACCACTTCATAGAGCAGCAGGGCGGGGATTGTCAGAAAATTTGGACGTGTTACTGAAGGCTGGAGCTTTTGTTAAAGTACAGAATCATACAGGTGACACACCACTTCACGAAGCAGCAATACGGGGATATTCAGAGTGTGTTGATGTGTTACTGAAGGCTGGAGCTGATGTTAATGTACAAAATAATACAGGTGACACACCACTTCATAGAGCAGCAGAGGTGGGATGGTCAGAAAATTTGGACGTGTTACTGAAGGCTGAAGCTGTTGTTAATGTACAGAATAATACAGGTGACACACCACTCCATAGAGCAGCAATACGGGGATATTCAAATTATGTTGACGTATTAGTGAAAGCTGGAGCTGATGTTAATGTACTGAATAATACAGGTGACACACCACTTCATAGGGCAACACAAGCAGATGTGTGGAGATTGGAAAAGTGCGTTGATGTGTTACTGAAGGCTGGGGCAAAGGTTGATGTACAGGATAATACAGGTAACACACCACTTCATACATCATCAAAACGGGGATGTACAGAGTGTGTTGATGTGTTACTGAAGGCTGGAGCGAATGTAAATGTACAGAATAATACAGGTGACACACCACTTCATGAAGCAGCAAGATGGAGACATTCAAATTTTTTTGATGTGTTACTGAAGGCTGGAGCGAATGTAAATGTACAGAATAATACAGGTGACACACCACTTCATGAAGCAGCAAGATGGAGATATTCAAATTTTGTTGATGTGTTACTGAAGGCTGGAGCGAATGTAAATGTACAGAATAATACAGGTGACACACCACTCCATGAAGCAGCAAGATGGAGATATTCAAATTTTGTTGATGTGTTACTGAAGGCTGGAGCGAATGTTCATGTACAGAATAACACAGGCGGCACACCACTTCATGAAGCAGCAATAAAGGGATATTCAAATTGTGTTGATGTGTTACTGAAGGCTGGAGCTGATGCTACGGTACAGAATAATACAGGTGACACACCACTCCATTTAGCAACAAGAGGGAGATCTAAAGAGTTGGGGAATGTGTTACTGAAGGCTGGAGCGAATGTTCATGTACAGAATAACACAGGCGGCACACCACTTCATGAAGCAGCAATAGAGGGATATTCAAATTGTGTTGATGTGTTACTGAAGGCTGGAGCTGATGTTACTGTACAGAATAATACAGGTGACACACCACTTCATGAAGCAGCAAGATGGAGATATTCAAATTTTGTTGATGTGTTACTGAAGGCTGGAGCGAATGTAAATGTACAAAATAATACACGTGACACACCACTTCATATATTATCAATGTGGGGATCAGCAGAGTTGGTTGATGTATTACTGAAGGCAGGAGCGAGGGTTTCTGTACAGAATGATACAGGTGACACACCACTCCATTTAGCAACAAGAAGGAGATCTAAAAAGTTGGGGAATGTGTTACTGAAGGCTGGAGCAAATGTAAATGTACAAAATAATACAGGTGACACACCACTTCATATATTATCAATGTGGGGATCAGCAGAGTTGGTTGATGTATTACTGAAGGCAGGAGCGAGGGTTTCTGTACAGAATGATACAGGTGACACACCACTTCATATAGCAACAGTGCGTGGATCTACAGAGTGTTTTGATGTATTACTGAAGGCTGGAGCGAATGTAAATGCACAGAATAACAGAGGTGACACACCACTCCATTTAGCAAGAAGAAAGGGATCTACAGAGCAGGTGAATGAGCTACTGAAGGCTGGGGCGAATGTTAATGTACAAAATAACACAGGTGACACACCACTTCATATATATTCAGTGTGGGACTCAGCAGAGTGGGTTGATGTATTACTGAAGGCTGGAGCGAATGTTAATGTACAAAATAATACAGGTGACACACCACTTCATCAAGCAGCAATAATGCGACATTCAAATTGTGTTGATGTGTTACTGAAGGCTGGAGCTTGTGTTAATGTGCAGAATATTGAAGGTGACACACCACTATGTCTAGTGGCAATATGGGGATCTACAGAGTGTGTTGATGTGTTATTGAAGGCTGGGGCGAATGTAAATGTACAAAATAACACAGGTAACACACCACTTCATGGAGCCACAATAGGATGCGTATCTACGAAGTGTGTTGATGTGTTACTGAAGGTCGGGGCTACTGTTAATGTACAAAATAAAAGAGGTGACACAGCACTTCATAATGCAGCAGGACGGATTTCTTCGAAGTGTGTTGATGTGTTACTGAAGGCTGGAGCTGGTGTTAATGTACAGAATAATACAGGTGACACACCACTTCATGAAGCAGCAACAGAGTGGGGGTCTACAAGATGTGTTCATGGGTTATTGGAGGCTGGACACTTTCTGGAAAAACAGTATATAACAGGTGACACACCCCAAAAGGGATCTGCAGAGTGTCTTTATGTGATACTGAAGGCTGAAACTGCTGATGTTAATGTACAGAATAATACAGGTGACACACCGCTTCATATATTATCAAAGTGGGGATCAGCAGAGTGGGTTGATGTATTACTGAAGGCTGGAGCTGATGTCAATGTACAGAATTATACAGGGGATACGCCACTTCATAAAGCAGCAGGACGGGGTTCTTCAGAGTGTGTTAATTTGTTACTTAAGGCGGGAGCTAATGTCATTGTACAAAATAATACAGGCGACACACCACTTCATATAGCAGCAGCAGTGTGGGGATCTACAGAGTGTAATTATGTGGTCCTGGTTGGTGAAGGTGTTTTTGAAGTACAGAATACAGCAGATGACACAACTCTTCCTACAACAGAAGGACAAGGATCTACAGAATGTTATGTGTTACTCAAGCGTCTAGCTGCTCTTAAGGAAGAGGATGATACAGATATGGACATGTCATTTCATCTACCATCATTGTGGGGATCTAAAGAGTGGGTTGGTGAGTTACTGAAGGCTGGAGCTGATGTTAATGTGCGGAATAGTACTGGTGACACACCACTTCATAGAGCAGCAGGACAGGGTTCTTCAGAGTGGATTGATGGGTTACTGAAGGCTGGAGCTGATGTTAATGTGCGGAATAGTTCTGATGACACACCACTTCATATAGCAGCAGGACGTGGATGTACAGAGTGTGTTCATGTGTTACTGAAGGCTGGAGCAAAGGTTGATGTACAGAATAACAAAGGCGGCACACCACTTCATAGAGCAACAGAGCGGGGATCTACGGAGTGCGTTCATGTGTTACTGAGGGCTGGAGCGAATGTTCATGTACAGAATAACACAGGCGGCACACCACTTCATATAGCAACAGAGCGGGGATCTACGGAGTGCGTTCATGTGTTACTGAAGGCTGGAGCGAATGTTCATGAACAGAATAACACAATCGGCACATCACTTCATATAGCAACAGAGCGGGGGTCTACGGAGTGCGTTCATGTGTTACTGAAGGCTGGAACTGATGTCAATGTACAAAATAACACAGGTGACACGCCACATGTTTGAGTAATAAGATATACGGAGTGTGTTGATATATTACTTGAGGCTGGAGCGGTTGTTAATGTACCGTAAAATACAGGTGACACAACACTTCATACAGCAACAGTGGGTTGGTACGTTACTGAGAGCTGAAAATGCCATGAATATTTTGCATGTACTTGTATGTACTATGAAAATCAATGTTAAAATTCTGCTTGCCAGATTGATTGTGTCAGACTGAAAATGTACAGAAAACATAGTGACTGAGAAAGATGTTGCCTGATATATGAAGACGTGAGGCACACGATGTTGCCATAGACACAAAATGTAATGAAAACCCTTTTATCAAGGGTTCTAAGAGATATTCACTTGTTAGATGTGAGTAATCAATTTATTATTAAATCTACAAGGACCAGAAGAAAATAGAACGTACCTCAATAGGGGTAATTCACACATTGTACACTCTGTGCAGTGTATCAGATGGGCCTGGTTAAGAGACATAATTTTGTGAGTCCATTGTTTTACATTTGTGATTCCCAAATTAAATTTGATAAGGGGAGATAACTCTTGCCCAGGTTTACCTCAGGATAAATGCTTGTGTGGCCAAAATGTCATGAAGTATGATTGTAAGCAAGATAAAGGGAAATAACTACGTAACATAAACACTAACAGATACATGCTCCTACTATCACATCCGATCGCATACGGTATGCGCACAAACAAAGGTATCCAAGCTCTTTAAATTGATTTGTTATTGTAATGAAGACATGTTGCCACTGTTTTATTGTATGCACTTTAACACTTGAATATATATGTATTATTTCACACAGTGTGCAATACACGTTACAAACATGTATTTTGGAACTTGAATAGTGAATTTGGACTTGAACATACAACTCAAGTATAAGAATAGTTCATATTTGTCTGTTGATCTAATGTTAGGATTTGAATACATTGTGTAATTGCGCACCACGGAGGGGCACGATCAATCTGATTATCATTACCCGGGATAACCCAAGCTGCTTGTGAAGCGCTAGAAGGTTAATAGTCACATGACTAATCCAACCGGGTTCCCATTTTCTGTTGGATGAACAGAAACAATTTTGAACAAACTCACTTGCCTCAGGTTAGACCACATATATCACATGTGCTTCGTTGTGGGGCAGGACTGAAGTCCTAGAAGCTCTAAGGAGTCAACCTGACTGTCTGACTGACTGCAGTACGTACTCCATTAGATATGACATGATGTAGACAGTCGTAATCCTGTGTATTCAGGTCTCAGGTCACCCACCCAAGGACTATCTGACAGACTGCAGTACGCACTCCATTAGACGTGACATGATGTAGACAGTAGCAGTCATGTGTATTCAGGTCTCAGGTCACCAACCCAAGGACTGCCGGACAGACTGCAGTAAGCACTCCATTAGATATGACATGATGTAGACAGTAGCAGTCCTGTGTATTCAGGTCTCAGGTCACCCACCCAAGGACTGTCTGACTGACTGCAGTACGCACTCCATTAGATGTGACATGATGTAGACAGTAGCAGTCCTGTGTATGTCAGGTCTTAATATTATTCATGGTGTTTTATAAATGTTCGAGTGATGATTAAACATTAGGGCAAAACTGGGGATTTGTAATGTAAATCATTGTACATTAAGTTTGTTTGTTTTATGCTATTAAGACATGTTACCACGGTTTTCTTGTATGCACTTTAATACTAGAATTTGTAGCTATTGGCGCATACAGTGTGCATTTAATGTGGATATTTCAGTGTTGGTTCATTGTGTATCAATAGTATCACAGACTGCAGAAACTGCAGAACACCGCTGCCAGGATTATCATGCGTGCAAAACTATCAGGTCATATCCAGCCTGCATTGAAGTCTCTCCACTGGTCGAGAATTAGGGAAAGAATAGAGTTTAAGATTTTAACTCTAACTTACCAAGCACTAAATGGAACTGCTCCACTCTATCTCCAAGCCCTTGTCTCACCCTACGTCCCACCGAGGAATCTCAGATCTGCCGATCAATCACTTCTTGTTGTGCCTCCATATAAATTCAAAACTTTCGGACATAGATCCTTCAAACATTCAGCAGCTTGCCTGTGGAACTCTCTCCCTACAGACATCAAATCTGCTCCAACTCTCTCAAGTTTCAAATCTCATCTAAAGACATTTCTTTTTCTTCGCTACTGACTGCTTTGTGTTTGCGCTTAGAGCATGGCCTAGTGTTGTGGAGTCAAGCGCATTACAAATGATCTATATTATATTATTATTATCTTACAAACATATAATTGATTTTTGATTTAAAAGTACATCTCACGGACAGAAGAAATGTTCAAACATAGAACTTGTTTATTGTGTTTTAATAATTTAAATGATAAATCCATACACGTAAGCTCGCAACCATGATATAGGTATACCACTGAACATTTTACATTTGCTTGTTGATCTTAAGTTGGGAGATAAAAATTAAGTTGTTTAACTAACCAGCTCACACTCAATTAGATGTCACATGTAGACAGTGGTGGTCCTGTGTCTGTCGTGTCCTAGGTCATCCAACATGGAGCGTTATATTAGTGAAGTTAATAACCGAAACGAGGGGCAGTAAGTTGTTAGCTGAACAGTTTTTATAGTACTGGGATATCCTAGTTGTTATGTTTGAGTGGAATATATGTCATGCAATTTACATATTGTAATCCATTTTCTCAAGCAATACGTTGATATCTCTTCTCTGATATGGATATGATATGGATATGTTTAGACAGACAGACAGACAGAGAGACAGACAGAGAGACAGACAGACAGACAGACAGACAGACAGACAGATAGACAGACAGATATTTTATTCAGTATAAAGGCCAAAGGCCCATAATACAAATAAATTACAGATTTGAAATACGCGCACATAAAAGTGACAGGTTTATGTTTTGACAATTGTAGCTCATAATGAACAGCAAAGGAAACGCAAGTTTTCAAAAAAATGAAATCTCATAAAAGTAAGCGTTCATGGTAAAGTGACGTAATGATCCCATATGAGATGATGTCATGTAATTTGAAGTCCATACCAAACATTCGCACAAACATTCCACAGTGCAGTAATACCATCATTTTAGCAGGTGCATCGACGGTTCTGGATGGAAAGCATGAGTTTCTCTCTGAGGTATCCTTTATGAAGGTTTGTGGCAAAAACACAGTTCAGTATTGACGCTAGGAGGTGTACACGCCACACAAACGATGCCTAGACTAACGACTGAGCAGAGGGGAGTGGCCACTGGAAAGTTGCACGGAGGTAGTTCTGCATCCTCTGTAGCTAGACAATTGGGCTGTCATCTTACCACCATTACACGACTTCCCCAACCTCATCAGCAAACCGGCATTGCTGCTGATCGTCCCCGTACCGGACGGCCACGAGTGACAACTCATGCCCAAGATCGGTTCATCCGGGTCACTCATCAAGGGACCGAACTCAAGCAGCAACAGTAACAGCAGCCTTAGATCAAGAGGAGCTGTGTCCAGCGATACGATTAGGCGTCGTCTTCGGGGTGCTGGAATTCACTGCCGACGGCCATATGTGGGGCCAAGTTTGACACGTCAACAACGCCAGCGACGTTTACAGCCCTCACACAACACGGGTGTCGATGGATTTTCTGGCTCAGAACAACATTAACGGTCTTCCATGGCCGTCTCTTTCCCCGAATATGGTTCCCATGGAACATTCTGGGACGAAATTTGACGTAGGATTGCTGCAGGTAGACAGCCCCTCACACTTGCACAGTTGGAATAGAGATCGGTGTTTGAGTGGAACCACTTGCCTCAGGCATTCTTTCAGACTCTAGTGAACTCAATGAGGCGACGTTGCACGGCCTGTGTGCAATTTCAAGGTGGCTATACACGCTACTAAAGAGACTGTCACTTTCGCGTTCAGGGGTATCACCATTTGAAGGACTGTGATCAATTTGAACCTATTGCATTTCAATGTCAACAGCAACTTCCAGCTGTTCAATTGACAGTGTTTTCTATAGAGTATATGATGAGACATAATTTTGGTTGTCTTCTATTTAAAAACTTGACAAAAAGACAGACTTGCGTTTCTTTTGCTGTTCAGTATATTTTTATCTTTACTGTTAAGTATGTGTATAAAGTTTTGTTTGCTGACAGTATTATACAAAAATGGAGTAATTATTAAAACCTATTTCCACCATCATTATATAATTTACAATCAAAGAGGTCATGTGTTTCATCTTCAATACAGTTAATATTATCTAATTTACAGTAAAAACACACTCTGTCAGCCATTGGTATTTCCTTTTATCTTCCTACCTCTATACCAAACCCAAAATTACTACACGCTTTGCGAGAAGAGATTTTAAATAGGGAGAGATATGTATATGTATATGTAATGATGAAGATGAGGGGGTCAAATAGCCTGTCTTTGTTCTTGAATACACTTCTGTTGTGTTTTCTTATTTTATTTAATTTAATTTTTTTAATTTAATTTTTTTCATACAGGATATTGGATACTCTTGCCACGGAGGGGTGGTTGGTTGTTGTGTAATTGTCAGCAATATTCCAGCTATGTGACGGCTGTCTGTGTATAAACGAGTATGGACCAGACAATCCAGTGATCAACAGCATGTGCATCTACGTAATTAGGATACGATGACATGTGTCAACGAAGTCAGCGAACCTGACCACCCGATCCCATTAGTCGCCTCTTGCAACAAACATAGGTTGCTGGAGACCAATTCTAACCCGGATCTTCACGGGTGGAGGCAACCATAGGTTGCTGGGGACCAATTCTTACCAATATCTTCACGGGTGGAGGCAACCATAGGTTGCTGGAGACCAATTCTAACCTGGATCTCACGGGTGGAGACAACCATAGGTTGCTGGAGACCAGTTCTAACCTGGATCTTCACGGATGGAGACAACCATAGGTTGCTGGGGACCAATTCTAACCTGGATCTTCATGAGTTTAATCATCTGTAAAACAACACTAGGGG